TTTGTAATAGAACAGTAAAACGTCCACATAGTTTTCTCAATTTTGAGAAATATTCATGCAAAATACCAGGTCCTATTATCAAACAGCTTATGACCATGACCAGAATGAAACGCGCGTAACAGTTGTTATTATTAATATTAAACACAGATATTTCGAATTAAATTGCTGTGCGCAAACAGCTGGAAATTCTTTAAAAAATTTTACTATTCTGCAACGCGGCCGCTATTGTATAATCGCAATAACACGAGAAACAAGGCATTAAACGTTGCCCAATCGCAACATTCTGAAATTTACTAATTAATAAAATGGAATGCCTTAATAAAAATCGCAGCAAACAATAAAGCAATAAATCTCAGTTTCTCCGCGGTTCGGGTTGTTCGGGGTTATTAATAATATCGCTCGAACAATGCAATTGTCCGGGTTGTTTCATCCGGAAACCTTGAAACATGGTTTCGCAAAAAACAAATTTGGAAAATACACGCCAGTGCCCGCACACTGAAACTGCTCGTCACCCTCTAAGTGATTACGTAAAAATTCGCAATTTTAAATCTAATGAACGATGTCATTGATGTTTTCCTGGTTGATCTGATACCTCGAAAAGCAGCCGGGCATGATACGGTTGGTTAATCAGCTAGGGTTCAAAAACATCTAAATTTCTTGTGACTAGTCAGTCAATTTTCATTATTATTATTGTTATCATACTTTTCCTGCTTTCCTTCTGGACCCCTATAACAATTACAAATGTATCTAAGTAGAAATGCTTAGAAAAAAATTTATCTAAGCCAAACACACACTTACTTTCAAAACGAGAGCAAAACAAAAATGCGGTAGTAGATACCTGTGTGCGGCTGGTTGTTTTCTTTCAATTGCGTATTCGCTTTCCAACTGGAATACTAATAAGTACATTTTGTAGTACAAGCTGCAAAGTCCATAGGATATAAATCTGGCCAGTATGCCACCTGATTAAGTAAAATTGCATTCAGGAAGTGAACTGCATTCGGTCGATACGAATCGATAAAATACACGTTCAATTCTCAGGCAAATTATCTGAGCTGCATTCGAAGTATCTGCATTGTTGTCGACTTTTCCAAAATACTGGTAGCTAGTTGCAATTAGTTATTTTCATTGGTTTCAAGCAAAAATGAGTTCCGATAGGAATTTCTGCAACTTTGGTTGGTGCTTAGTTAAAGTATTGCTGCTTGCACTGGTTTTGCCTCAAAAGAAGCAAAATAAAGCCAAACATTCTTGAAGCTTTCACTTTCAGACTCGGTTTATTTTAAAGCTGGAACAGTTTCTGACGCTTTTTAAACTTCGTTAAAAGCGAATACGTTCTTATCAAATAATATTTAGGAGTGACATTAAAGGCTTGCATGTTTGTAATTTTTTTGCACTAAACCGAGTGAAAATGTGTCTTGAAATTAATATAAAAGAATTTTCAAAAATTAATTTGCCAATTGAACGAACAACAGAGTAGCTATGCAAAATACAGGGTGTCCCGTAAGCACATTATCAAAAGGATACTGCGATATTAGCATCAAAAGAAGATGATCTCACCTAACTTTTATTAACAAAAACTGTCTGGCTCCTCTGCTATTGATGGCCAAATTTCTTCAAAAAATTATCTTGTTTGAAATATCGGGAGAAAGGTATGACGTATTTTAGTGAATCTCGCTGTAAATTTATTTCTATGTAAGACTCATATTTTGATGAAACAATCGAGTTTATCCGTTTTGGACAAGTGGTGAATTCTTGAGTGTAGTGGTACAAAAACTACCAGAACCTTTTATTTGGTAGATTAAATCAACTCTTTTTTTAGTTAATACACTAATCATTTATTCACAATTTTGTGCTCTTTGTAAAATCTTGTAGCATTCATAGTTTTTGCGAAAAAAATATTTCTGTTTCCTTGCCACTTAACAGTGTTAGAGAGACATTAACTGCAAATATCGTGATACGAGGCATAAAATAATTGTCAATCAATCTCACCAATTCGGTTTGAATTACCTTTTCTAATAAAGAAGCGACCCACATGGTCAAGGTATTAGGGTTTTGCGAAGACAACTTGCGTTTACTCGCCTGATAAAACATTGCAGTTAATGTTAACATTGTTAAGTGGCAAGAAAACAGACATACTTTTTTTGCGTAAAAACTATGAATGCTGGAAGATTTTACAAAGAGCACAAAATTGTGAATAAATGATTAGTGCATTAAGCAAAAAAAATGAGTTGATTCCATCCACCAAATAAAAAGTCCTGGTAGTTTTTGTACCACGACACTCAAGAATTCACCACTTGCCCAAAACGGGTGAACTCAATTGTATAATCAAAATATGAGTCTTACATACTAACAAATTTACAACGAGTTTCGCCAAAATACATCGTACCATTCTCTCGATATTTTAAAAAAGATAAATTTTTTGAAGAACTTTGACCATCAATGGCAGAGGAGCCAGACATTTTTTGTTAATAAAAGTTTGGTTAGATCGCCTTCTTTTGATCCAAAGAATATCGCACCACCTTAACGTAAACCGTAAACAAAATTAATGTTACAGTAGAGCATGAACAAACAATCGCTATAGAACTCTTCAAATGAAAAAAAACACATTTATTTCTTGAGAATGCAGATTTATGAAACTGGAAAGTTTTTTGAGCATTAAAGAGGGCCATGGAAAAAATCTTCCTCGACGTTTCGCAACTACAAATGGCTTACATCTTCAGATGTGGTTTGTTTACAGCATCAACCATGTCTGAAGATGCAAGTCCAAACCAGATTAGAAGATCAAACATGATCTTCAAAAATGGAAATGTAAACTTTGAAAGATTCGATTTGCATTTTTAGATTGCGAAATTTCGAAAGCGATTCAACAGTCTAAAATTTTGTTTTTTTCTTGCTCAAAAGTTTTTATTTTATGTATGAACATTTTTAATTATTCTGCACACAATTTGATGTAGAAGTTGTGCCGTGTCTTTCGTGCATGATACTGGTTGAGGCCTAAAAATATGTGATTTTCATTTAATTTCGTCTATTATTAATCTCAACCAGCTTTACAACCAACACTTTTCTCGATTTACTTTGTATTCAGATGCTCTCGAGGTAGTTTGATGTAAAAGTTGTGCCGAGCCCTTCGGGCACGGCAATGGTTGAAATTGACTAAGAGGAAGTTAATTCAAAAACTACAGTTTTTTAAGCCTTAACCAGTGTTGTGCCTGAAAAGCTCGGTACAACTTCGCAACAAACATTTTCCTCGGTTTGCTTTACATTCAAGATGCTCTGGACGTAGTTTGATGTTAAAGTTAGTCTTAATATTATGTATTTTCCTTTCAGGAATAAAAATTGACAAATTCGAATTTCGAATTAGGAAAATGCTTTCTTGCTTTATAGTATTCAATATTTTTATAACGTTCGGAAACTTCAATAGTTCAAAATCTGAGCTCAAGAAGTGTTAAACGTGAAAGGCAGAAGAACGAAAAGTGCGCTTTAGCTAATTGGGTTATAAAAACGCCATTTTCAAAAGCGGTGCTTACAACTGCTAAAGGCCCATTTAAACCAAGTTTTTCCCAAGTTTTTCGAGCTTTTAGCAGCTCTGAAGTTGCAAGCCACTCATGCTTACGAAGCGTCAGGAAGAAATTCTGACCCGAAAAATGCATTGAAGAAAACATTTATTTTATACTTGAGACTCAGAGACACAAGTATTAAAGCTAATGATACTGTTAGTTTGGGTTAGCAAGTGAAAATTGCACTAAATTGCAAGCAATTTGAGAGTATCTGGGAAAAAAACGAGGAAAAATATGGACACTTATATTTCCAAACGTGAAGGTTGCGAAGAGTGAAGCAAATGAACAAGGGGATAAGTTTATTGCAATATTCCATAATATTTTCAACCCGCAAATTATTCAATAAAAAAATCAGCAAATATAAAAATGACTGCGAGAACGCAAAAAAGAGTATAACAACGATTTGTGACGATATTACCAGTATTACTAAATTATAAATTTATTAACAAACTAGTACATTTTAGCATCTTGCAAAGCAAGTGCAACAAAACGCGAAGATCCAAAAGTAAAAGATGAATTAACGAAATACAAATAAAGAAAAAACCCAGTATTAAGACAGTCAAGAATGTTTAACCTACGAAACGAGACCGTAAAAATCAACCAAAGATATATGTATAAATTGTAAATTGCTAATTAAAGAATCAAAGAAATATTAACAAACTAACATATAAGAATGTGAACCTAGAGCAGCTAAAGTTCATTTTACGTACAACACAGTTAATTCGCTTCGAACTGATTAGTTAGGTACCCATTATATTGACTAAAGAAATTGAAGTAAACTCTAGAAAAACTCATAAAATTACATCATGGAGCTTTGATGCCGATGATGAATGTATGTAGTCTGAAAACCGTGCAGAGTAAATCAACTCTTAATCAAATAAAAGTACCGTTACTAAGACTCGATGGTTGGTTGCGTTACTTCCTTTCCATATTTTTTCGTTTTGGCGAGCACTTTTGAATGCTTCAGCCAGCATGAAGCCATACTTTCAAGGGCATATAAATTAGCAGTGAAACCTCTCAAAAGAGGCACAAAAATGATTCGATTAAGCGTTTTTGCTTAATTCCTTTGTTTGTCGGTTCCCTGCTCGGCACTCCGGCAGGACTTAACGAAGTAGGTAGGGCCTACCATGCTCCTGAATTTGATCGAAACCGTTTCGATTATGTAACAACATCACGTTTGTGAAAGGAAATGATCCGATAACGTGTTGGAATCAATTGAAATTGACGATGCAGTGGAAAAAGTCGAGGATAAATTTGACACCAAATTGGAAAATGTACTATTGATAGACTACAGCAAGGTTACGAATTTCTTTTCTAATTCCATGCTTTGTTGCAACGAACGTTCGAATCCGAGCGTTTTGTTCGTGCTGGTCTTTTCCCGGAACTGAACTGAATTTTAGTTAATATAACAGAAGGCAAAGAATTATCACAGACAGTTTTTCGCAGACAATTAATGGAGAAAGGATCGTCCCAATCTTGGCGGGACGTGCTATTTCAGGCCACTGGCGACAGCCGATTAGATGGGAGCGCGCTCAGAGAATACTTCCGACCGCTTGAGGATTGGCTCAGAAATGAGAACCTCAGAACCGGGGAATTTGTGGGATGGCTCTACGATGGAGACTATTGCAAGCAGAGCATTGAAACGGCTGGTCTGCAGGTTTATGGGGGATTTTACAACGCGTGCAGTCAACATTTCGCGAGCATTTTTATTTTGTTTGTCTGCCTTCTTGTATCGAGAATAACTAGATGAAGACGTGGTATAATTTTTTTTTCTTTTTTTTTAGTTTCTGTTGAATATCTTATTTTCTTACAAGTTTGTTTACTTTAATTAGATAGTTTGTACATTGTGTGGAAGACATATTAGGCAATTATTATGTTATGTATTTGTAAATATAGTGCGTATTTTGATTGTTCTTGTTTATTTTTTTATAGCCTGTAGACACTCATTTTTCGCACATATTTCCAAATAATTGCTGTCTTTGGGAAATAATCATAACACAATTGAATAACGTAATTATTTCGACCGGTCCAAAATGTGATTGGATTGACTATACTTTATGTACATACGTGTAAAAAAAAAGGAGATAGTTTTTCCTATCCCTTTCCATTTTGTATAGAGAAAATGCTAAGTGGATCAAATTTATGAAATTTATACAGCATACAGAAAATTAAGTTCAAACGCGAAACTTGAAACAAAAAGCAAATAAATATGTTTTCAGATAAAACCAGACCATGAATCTGATCTGATATCCGAAGGATCGCTTAGTTTTCGATTGAAACTTTGGCTATTAACTTTGTAAACCCAAAACTTCTCACTTCTCTCTACTGAAAGGTAAACATTATCTTTGCCACTTTTGTATGAATTTTTAGTAGAGGTCAAATTATTAACAAAGTTAATGGCATTAACTCAGAGAGCAGAAACACCTCAAAAGCGCACCTCAACACAGTGTTATTCAGGCCGCCTAGCTGGAATAGCGTGTCAAGTTGTTGACCTCTTTAATATTCATTATACAGGGTGGCCAGGTAGTCAAGAAAGTAAAATTGTTACTTCGCGCTTTCTGTAGTCTGAAAATCACTGCCAATGACTGTTTAGAGCTAGGTAGAGTAAGTGGCTTCTACTAGATGGGAGATTCTGGATAATTATCACTATTCTCAATGTTTCATGAGATTTCAAGTGACTACTTTGCTTGAGAATGTGGCCTTATTGTTACTAGATTGCGCCAATTGAATATCACCACTTAATTAATGATAATTACTATGAAGTTTTTTGTATTCACTAGTTATAGATCGGCATTCACATAATGTGAAATTAGTTTTAAGTTTGTTTATGTGTAGTAATAACCAATGGCATTCTTCTTTCCCATCAAATTCCATCTTCCATTACTGTTGGTTGATAGCGTGCTGTTTTCTTAGGTAGCTAAACCCAATTGCAATAAGGTCTGTGTGTTCTGCATATAAAGTTGATCAATAAAGAACCATTTATTGCATCTTTCACTTGTTTTTGTAACCACCCTTTTTCACCTCAATAAAAGGAGGAATGCCCGTCAGAGGGCGCTTTTCCCGATTTTAGTTTAGTGTATTTCCGTCAGAGGGCGCTTTTGTCGATTTTAGTTCTAACATTCACTTCAGAGGGTGGACCCAATCACCGTTAACTGCTTTCTTATGCGATGTATTTATTAGACGCAGCTGAAATGAAATGGATACAGTTCAATATTTATATTATTTATTTATTAGGTTTATACATTTTTTTTCTCTAATAACAAGTATACATGCACTTTAAATGGTATACTTTTGTACCACCTGGCTTATTTTGAATAACATTCTAAAATATTAACTCTTCAATTAAAAATAACAGATCTCAACAGCACAATCTTCTCTGAAAGGATTTAATTCCAATAAATTGTCCTTGTTATTTTTCAAAAAATCAGGTTTGCGTGTTAATCTTCAACTTATGTTTTGCAGTAATAGACAATTTTGTATTAATCCATTAACTTGATCCAACACTTGATTAATTTAAATTAACTATTTTAAATTAAACATTTAATGAATTACTTCTCATACAATTAAAAAGCAATGTTCAGCCTTTGAGCAAAAATTGTGAATTTCTGGGACAACTAAGCGTTATTACAGCATCTATCAACTTTACAATGGTAAATTATTTTTTATTTATTAATATAATATAATATAAACGTTGGCTGAATTTTTATTTAGTGGATAAATCTTTTTCACATGTAACCATCTATTTTTTTTCTGTGAGATTATTGAAAGAACAAAATGTATTTTAATGTATATGTAAATATACCGCTCAGCCGCAGTTTCCAAAAGAACTTAAATGGCGATTTATTGAAGAATTCCTTAAATTCTTATCAATGTTTGTCAAAAACATTATACAACGATTTTATTACTGTACGTAGTTCAAACGATAAGTACATGATTAATGCAAAAGTAATCAGTTCTAAACTAAGTTTAATCCTTTTTTTTCAGCAAGATATAACTCAAATCGGAAAAAAGTACAGGCTGAAAATAAGAATTAAAAATCCTTTCAAATCAGTTGCCAGGTCACTCAGCGTACAGTGAGCCAATAGGTAAATAGGTAGATTTCGATGTGACTTAATTATTAGTTGGTTAAATAATATTCAAAGTTCTCACTATATCGTAATAATAATAGTAATACTTAAAGCAGCAGCACTTTTACCTTACTTAAGTGTCACCATATTAACAGTAAAGTTGCAATTTTCCATTTGCCAAAGTTGCATTCGGAAAAGACAAACATTTCCAGTTGGACAGTGAAAATGTTGTCAACTTAAGTAATGGCTTTGAATTTTGTTTCTTGAGGAAATATTTCCGAAAATTACCAGAGATATATAACCTATAGAACAGAGGATTTTCCTGCCGACAACAAAAACGTCGAAGATCCAGGAATTTGGATCGACAAGGTCCAAAGGCTCGACTGAAAAATAAAGATAATTTTATATTAGACAAAACCGCGGTGGTCTTTGCCTAGTATTGAAATTGAATTTGAAATTGATTAAATAAAAAAATAAAAATCGAAGAACATAGAAAATTTCATTACAAGAACAAATAATTTCAAAATCAAGCATACTTTCATTACGCTCTCTGAAACAAACACGTTTATTCGACTAAATGCATCATGTGCCTGTGTTTTTACTTATTTTACCTTTCCATTTTTATCTGGGCGTACATTTAATTTGTGTACAGGGCTGGAAGTGTTCCAATATAGTAACTAATAGCTTGGAGCGTCCGAATAATAAAAACTGGCGATAATTTTAATAAAAATGTTTGGTCCTCGCCAACCTCTAGCGCCGCCACTGTGTTTGAGTAGGGTCAATTGCCCAGTGAATGAACAAATAAGACAAGTTTTAGATTCACACTTCTATCACACTGGAACAATAAGAGCATAAGGGTTAAAACTGCAGTAAATCTTTATTTAGTTATTTAACTTAGTTAAAAACTATGAAATAACAACTTACTAAAAATGGATTTTGAAGAAGGTGTCCAAATACCTAGTGAATGAACAGGTAATTCCAATAAAAGAACAGACAAATTCGAGTTAATGAACAGTATCATATTTTCATTGTAAACTAGTTATAGGCCACTGCTGGTCCTTACATAAGTACCTACTATGTAATTTGTATTTGTATCGTATTTTGGCTCAAGTATCTTCTTTAAAACTTGTTTCTTCTTATACCAAATTCGATGATTTGTCTTAGGACATATCCAATTGTTTCCATTTTTTCTCTGGATGACACTAATTTCGTATTCTTCGTTCTCTCTATCCATATCTTTTATTACTCCTAGATATTGTTTGTTACCGTAAAGAACCAGAACGTAATCTCCAAGCGTAAAATTTAAAAATGAGTGGATACATTTTTCTAAGAAGTATTTTTTACATAGGTATTCTATTTGGTGTTGTTGTATCCATTTCTGCTTCAACATTCGGAAGTTGTTCATCTTTTGAAACCATTGGAATTCCTGATATTGACTTTCGACTTTCCTTTTTCATTTGCTCCTGTTTTTCACAGGTGTTCCACGTTTCCTCTTTCTACTTTGTTGCAAAATTGCAAAATCCAAATAGCTTTAGGTTATAATGAGATTTATGTCTATCAATGAACAGGATTACTGGAAATTTAGTGCCCTCTTTAATAAGCCAAAGGTAAAAGACGTTGACGATATATTCAAAAAATATTGGACTGCACATCCAACCAGAGTCAGATCGTCCAATTGGCCATACTTCTGGTACAGAAAGAGCTAGTCCCTTGGGTATTCGTTAATAAGGGAAAACGATCGTCGGAGGAACTACCGTTCCACTTGCTGCATAATTGCAAAGAATAGTAATTGATTCTTTTTCATTTCCTGGTGCAATTTCAGAGAGGCTTCGAAAGTTTTTTCTTGCAGGCGCCAGAACTACTCTCGGTTGGGTTGATATTTTAACCCCTGTCTCATCGGCGTTGGATATGCGTGAAGAATCCTTCATCATTTCCAACAAATTCTCGGTTTTTAAAAACTATCGTAGGTCTTCAAACCATTTCCGAATTGCCACTTCGGTTACTGAAGCTGTACTTTTTGAAATTATTTCCGTATTTCGTTTAGCAATTTCGCTGTGTCTTCGGAGAAACAATTGTAGCCACTTCTCCCCCGGCTTATCATCTACAAATTTATTTTCTCTAGGGGAGGCCTTTAATACTTTTTGAACCCCGGATTTAACTTCTTCCAGATGGATAGGAAAACCTAGTTTGGCTTTGGCCAGAATCCAGTTAGTAAGTTTTGTTTTGATGTGGTCGGAGGGCCCATTTTTCGCTCGATAGGGACCTTTTTCTTTAATTTATTGGGTAAAGTTGACTTTGGGATTCCATATTGTAAATGTGCTTTATTTAAACTTATTTGTCCAACATTAATTAAACTTAACGCAGTGGATAAATACTTTTCTGTGTATTTAAAGCGTACGTAGTTCAAACTCAAACTCAAACTCATCTAGAAATTAATTGCGTTCCAGTGAGTAAACTCCAGTGAATGAACGGTGTTCGTTTACTGGCTGGTAGATATCAGAATCAGTGTATCAATATCAGTGGAAACATCAGAATATCGCGAGTATAGCAAACTTGTACTACTATAAGATATTTTTAAGGTTGATTTTGCAAATTTTTTAATTTAGGCAAAAAATCCAGTGAATAAACCCCATGTTCGTTCATTCGGTTGATGATGAAAACGTTAGCCAGTACATGAACCCCTTAGACTTTAGGCAAAATATGGAGATTTGAAGAAAAAAGTATTAAGAATGTTTAAATGCATATCTTTACATGCATAAAATGTCAAGTTTATAGAACTGATTCTTTTTAAGATAAAATACTTTTAACAGGCAAGCTTTTGCACCAAATGCGAAATAAGAATGGCGTCTTTTACGTTAGCTGTAGGCAGTGCTGCAACAGTTCCACTTGTGTCAGGCAAAAGAAACGGTTCTTAAACAAGCCAATGAATGAACTGTTTAGGGGACATGTGCATGAAATTTTAGAAAGAGCTAACTGTACTCTCCCAAATAATATATTCTCATTTTTCATTTTAGTGTTGAGCGGTGTTCATTCACTGCGTACTGTTCATTTATTGGGCGATTGACCCTATAGCAAAATGAACGGCAAACATCCGTGCAAGTAATTCAACTAAGATATTTAATATACAATTTTTGCTTCGTTCTTAACGGTTCTTCTTACGGGCATGGTAAAAGAATTCTGGAAACAGAAGGAAAACCAGTGAGAAAGAAAAAGTACATTCAATCACTTTCCTAGTTTTTATCCCACTCGCGTTCAAAGCTTAATAAGAATTTTATTTGGTGGTTTTTCTTGGAGTTGGAGGAAATTCGTTTCTCCACCACTTTTAACTCGATAATATTCAACGACGCTTAACCTATGAATATTTTTTCTTATACGCAACGTCGAACTACAGAAAATAAAACCAATTAGGAAGGCGAAAAATTGGCACATGACCACTAGTGGGTTTACTGAGGTTCACTTGAAGAGTACGTGAAGGCGGATTTTTACAAAAACTGTTGTTACCATTGAAATACATACTAGCAGCATATGTTCGTAACCCATTTTTTTTCACTCTATCATCGCAAACCAATTAACACCAGATAAAATCTCTGTTGGTTTACAGCATCTTGAGAACCATTCAAATGTGGGTTCTTTTGTGTGCAAAAAGTGCAATGACAAAAGAGATAATAGTGTGAGAGTCCCAGGAATGTCTTCTGTCGATATAATCGAAACTGATTGGCTTATAATTGCTGGCGATTTTGCAATCCGAAATATTATAACGCCTGGATTGGGGACAAGGTTGCTGACTTGATTAAAACGGTTTTTGCGCCGGATTGTGCGTTGTCCGATACTAATTAACTTTACTATTACGAAACCGATCACTTTCGCAGTGGTAAACAAAGACCATCCGGCTCTTCAGCTCGCGCGAAAAAAAGGGTGACCGTTACTTGTCGTTGAAATTCGAAATCCACCCGGGCGAGAAACAAATCAATCAGCCGAGTTAAACGATTCTTTGCGCAACTTGGGTAATTGTTAATAATCAACAATACTATTTACCCAACACCTATTATTAAGGTGAATTGAAGGCGAAGTGATACGGTAATAAGATACATAAGCGTTCCGGTCACTTTCAATTTATTTTTCAGATATCGTGCCGTACTTAGGGAGTTATTACGGCGGCTGTTAAGTCATTTCAGCCGCGAGATATTGAAAGATAACGGGCAGCTGGAAAGGGCATTCGACCGTAACGCTAAGAGATGAAACAGGAAAAATGCACAAACAACCATTGTTATGCAACTGTTAATTAGCTTTTTTGAGTATCGGCATGAAAGGGACAAAGAGAAAACGCTAATAATGATCGCTTAATGAGATGGAAAGTTAACTTCAATTAGTTGGTCCAATCGGTTGCTTTTTCCCAATTGAATGTACAGGAAACGGGTGGACTGGACGTGGATATTTCTAAGTCCAGGCCTGTTTTGTATGAATAATGCACGCTCCTGCTTGGTACTCATCTAATTGAACGACCATGTGACAGCTCTATGAGTTTTTCAACAGTATTTTAAGCACATTGAGATCGGGCATTTACTAGTTTTATTTAGCGCGGTGACCGTTTTTCGCCCAAAATGCCTCCAAAGTGATTTTTTAAGGATGGACTGTTAAGTGAATGCAATGGATATAGTGAGAAAATTTGACTTGGTAAGGGTCTCTATCCAAGAACAGTATGGGAAATTCTCAGTTTTTTTCAATATGTCCACGAACGATTGTTTTCAGGTAACTTTCAGTTTCTTGGTGCTTTTGATGATTGTGGCCAATTTGGAAGCAGCTTTGTTGGGAGACCATGTTTGCCAAAAGGAGATTATGTAAGTCTTTACACTTGAAGAGTTTGTAATATTCACACTTGGTCATTTTTTACAATATTGGTGATCTTTTATAGGTTTCGAATATTTTTGTTTTTCGTAAACTCCGCTTAAGAACAACTTGTCTCATTTAGGCCGGAATTCATTGAAAGTTCTTCGCGCAGTTTGAAACCACTTCAACCACTTCTTTTTTATGTCAATGTTTTAAATCTTTTTTTCTCAATGAGTTTTTAACCGTCATTTTTCAATTTTTACAAATCTGGCAAATTGTCTAGACTCTAAAGTTCAAAGTTCCACAGACTGAAACATCTAAGTTTCTTCTTCAGGTCAGCTAATCAACTTAATTTTTTTGAGAAAAATTTCCGGTAACAGACTTTGAAGCTGAAGAATTTACAGTTTAACTCAATGTTTGGTGCTTCGCAATGGGCAATTTCTATGACTGTTATAACAAAAACGTGCCTTAATTCTAAATTCATGTTCTGTTTCGTTTCTCAATCTGAAAAACCGATCAATATTCCAAAAAAAAAACACTATTTAATACTCTAGCAAGAAAAGCAAATTAAAAATTCAACTTATAACAACCAGTTTTTGCGATACTCATAATACAATCGTTTTAATTAAAAAAAAATCTTCTAAGGTTTTTTATTTTTGTCATAAAATACTCGGAGCACCAATTGAATTAAACGTGTTATCAGACAGCATGGTTCAAAGTCCTGCAGATACCGCAAAAAAAACCAGTAATCTCCAAACTCACATTTTTAGAGTAGAGTAATTGAGACACCCTGTATATTAGAAAAAATTGAGTAAGACAGTTTTAATACCTTCGGTAGATTTAAATAATTTAATTAAAGTTTTTTAACAGTGCAATTGTGAAAGTTACTCTACTTTGTGAGCCTGGATAACTGGATTATTTAGGACATTTATTAATAACATTTTTAAAATTTCTTAAAAATTTCAGAATTTTCCAGTTTTAGCCCAGTTACTCTTTCTTCTAAATGCACAATTTTCACTTTTCACGTTTCACTTAAAAATGCTGACAATCTTAAGGTATTTTCCGCGAAAAATTATGAAATAAATTGCGAATTCTTTGAAACAAAAATCCAATAATTTTCTATAAAAAAACGAACAGAATAAGCGAAAGTTTGTATAATAACAGATTATTTGGAAATTTCGTCACCTCCATAGCTCTGAAGACTGTAGAGTTTGTTAAAAAAATGTAATTTTTTAGTTTTAACTGATTTTCTTTCCTTTACTTTCTACTCAAAAACGCTCCATTTTACAGTTTCACTTAAAAGTACTGACGATCTGGAGGTCTTTTACACGAAAAATTACAAGATAAATTTATAAGTTCGTAAAAATTTTACAAAAACTTTTTCAGCGTGGAATTCGGGACAAAAACCGAAATAAATTCCTCCCATTTTTTCCCGAAAACCATTAAGGATTTCTTACAAACCGATTTCAAAACTAAAAGTTTTTAATTGAAAACGTAAAAGTCTCGGGTCTCGTAAAACTTAATACATCACTTATGACTCACGAACCGATGAGTTATAACTTGTTAACTCAGAGAGGGGCAACAACTCAAAGCACAACTCAACACAGTGTTACCCAGGCCTATTACTTTGGGTAAAGACATTGCTTTGTTCGCAGCTTTGGAAGTTTCACCATCATCATTCTTCTGTTTTTTACCATTTTTCCTTTGATAGGGAACATTTTGATTTGAGTAAATACAAGCAGACTTTATTCGTGCACATTCGAAAAGACATATTAATTGAAAGAGCACAGAGAGTGAGGAAATAAGCTGCAGTCCAAAAAAGTTGAAGTAAATGTTGCGAGGAAAATGTTACGGTGCATAAAATTTATATTTTTCAAACAGACGATTACAGATTTAATTTACTCAAGAGAGCGTCCCCATATTGCCCGCAGAAAGATTTAAACTTTACCCAAGAAAACTAAATAAAAACTAAACCTCTCGATCTAAGACCTCGTCGACTCGCATCTGTACAGTCGATTTGCCGCAATCTAAAGTAAAATATTGTTACAATTTTAATTGCGCATTTCATGCGGCTACAGAAAAGTGGTTGTTGCCAGCATCAGTTTTCCTCATTATTGCATTCTTTAATGCGTTTCGCTCGTGATAGTTAACAGATTCCCAACCAGTCGTTGACTGAGTTATTCTAACGTGCACACGAAAAAAAAATGGTTGTAAAACTTAATTTTCCTCGTTACTTGATCGTTAGTAGATCGGACTCGCGTCCATTAATCAACTCGTAAAGTTGAATGGTCAAGCTAATGCTATTGGAAACACATTTGCCGATTCAATTGATAATTTTCTATGTAACTGAAAACACTTCGAGTCTAGGTTTTTATTGATTTCGTACGTTTCGCTAGCAAGAGTCATTGGAATGTTCAGATGAACTAAATACAGTGAATCAAAGAATCGGTCTTTCTGTATTGAAGTTTGAAAATTTGGCCAAATGTACCTTTGAAGGCTTGAAAAAGACCGAAAAAAATTCCACACTTCAACGCAAAAAGACCGATTCTTTGATTTCATCCAGTGTGTCCACACTCATTCCCATTATTTAAATACAGCGAGTTGACTAATTTGATTCTAACTAGAATGTAGAGATTGTCAAGAAAACTAGTGGAAAAAGCCAATAGATTGAAAAGGAAACAGCATGCAAACTTGTGAAAACCGCAAAATAATGTCGTTATAATCATCAGTGATATTTAAATAATTTTTAAAAAATCAGAAATAAATCAATAAGGAACCATCTCTCAATGCAAACTAATTTTTTTTTCAATTGAACCCGCGAAACTTAAAGAAAGGTAAGTTGCTTATTTCGAAGATCTTTAACTGAAAGCTCATTCGATGCTTCGCATCTGGCGAAACAATTTGCTGTAAAATACTGCTTACATTTTAATTACACGGTTCTCGAGACCACAGAGAGGAAAATCGTTACAAATTGCCCAAGTTTATTCGTGAATTCTTCATTGGGCTTCTGGTCTAATGGATGCAGCTTCTGCAACAATTCATTAACCATGCAAGATCAGTTAAAGTACCTCCGTTGAAGAACGAAGAATTGCTTCAAGCACATTTTCCATTTTTCTACTTTTTCAATTTATCTCTGAAAATGTTGGGAAATTTTCCAGAGATTCGGAATGATTCTTGTTCTATTTCTTTTTCTCCTTCAGCTTGCTGGTTCTTCTTATTCAAATTCGGAGATCTCGACGTAAACAGCCAGCATTTATTTAATGGGCTGTTTGTCTGGTCTTTCACCTAATAAGTCCTTACACACATGATCGCCTATTAAACTTTTACTTTCAGCTACTGGTCGAGGGAATGTGCAATCTACACGCTTGCACCATACATGTGTACATGCACGGATACGCTTCTCGAAATCCAAAAATGAGGAAAAACCGGTATTGCGCCAGATCTTTGTTCATCGCCACATGCCACAAGCGGGAAAACTGCACAAAATATTCTGCCAGTTTTTAGCCATTGTATCATTTGGTAGCTGTAATGTGTTTTCGCATTTTCAGAGTTTCGGACCTAATTCCCACATGGACGCCGAAGAATCAGACGATAAGAACGTACCAGTGGTGCATGAGTATACCGCCTCGTTGTTCAGTCTACTCAACCAGATTCGAGAATGAATTCCGACTTTCCGTAAGTGCCAAAGATAAATCGCTTATCCTGAAACGTTTACGGTCTTGTTACTTAACGCGGATTGCAATGATGGAAGTAGCAGATGCAGATGTGCCAATGCGGCCTTGCATCACATGGTGGAATTATTAACTCAAATTTATGACAAAGTTGACCCTATTTTGTTCGTAATCCTAACATTACCTAAAAAAGCAAATATTCAGAGGAAAAGTCACAGTTAATTGCAGTAGAACCCTGCATATGCATGAGTTAATGTGGCATTGCGGCCGCATCACTTATCCGACATATCACTGCAAATTTCTTCTTAAGCAGGATGTTCTAATTCGATTAGGAAATTGGGTACAATCTTCCGAAGCGCATATCAGAGGGGTCCATTTGACCGCCGAAATCAGCCGAATTCCACTTCAGGGCTGCTTGAACTGGGTGTTTATTTTATTTTCTCCTGCTTTTAAAGTCTATATTTCAACGATATTATTGCATAATTGCGACATTGTTTAACACTTGGAGCCTGCTCGAGCGTAACGCAATTGTTTTCCTTACGGCCCTTGCACCAGGCTTTCTCTAGCTTTTTTATGTGTGTGTGGGTTACTCTACTTGGCAATTTACATGAATAAAGAGCGAATGTAACGGCATTTTTTAAGTGTCTGAGTTTGGCTCATTAATTCATTCTCTTCATTTGGCTGAAAGAATTAATTGGTAAATTGCGCTTGGTCTGTTGCTTGTAACTTGGCTTATACAGGGTGTTTCAAAATTGGCGTCATTCCTTTTAAGGCATTATAGGGGCTCATGTGCAGAGCACGAGAAAAATATTGCAAAACAATTTTCGAAAATTTCTAGAAGATATTAACAGTTGGTCCCATGTTTGATTAGTAGTAGGCCTGGGTAACAGTGTGTTGAGTTGCGCTATTGAGTTGTTGCCGCTCTCTGAGTTAACGAGAGTTAACTCATCGGTTCATGAGTCATAAGTGATTTATTAAAGCTTTACGAACCCCGAGGCTGGAATTTTCACATCTAAAAAAAGGTTATTAACATTTTTTCTTAGTAACGTTTTACTACTTTGCTCAAACAACTAAAAAAAATAATCTAGATTTTCCCAGCAACAGAACTGAGTCCAAAGAAAGGCGACGAGTTTTCTTGTAAATACGATCTCTTAATTTTTTTGCAAAAAAGATTCAGTTTGTCAACATTTTACAGTAAAACGTTGGGAAAACGCGGTTTTTCTGTTTAGAGACAGTGTTGTTTAGAAATATTGATCTAAAAGTGAAGAAACTCCAGTTTCCAAGAGTTTTCCCAATAAATGATTATAAACTTTCGCCTTTTCCGTTTGGGGAAATATTTTTGGAAAAAGGCCTAGAAATAATTATTAGGGTTTTGTCTATAATTCGAAACTGTAAAAAGTTTTCCCCAATTTTTTGCAAAGCGGTTAAGTGTTCCAATAAAATGTATCTTATAGTTTTTCATAGACAATACATGAAGATTGCCACTATTTCAATTAAAACTAAAAAATAATGCGATTTTGCGTAGAAAGAATTGCTTAATAGAGACCTTGCTAAAACTGGAGTGACCTGAAACTTTAAAGAAACTTTGGAAATCCTCAGAGCGATGAGGTCGGCTAGTTTTTCCCATAATTTTTTGTAAACTTTTGCTCTCTGGCCGGTTTTTCAAGATAGTCCTAACTACTTTCGGTACAAAACGGAATAAAATTATTTGGTTTTTGTGTCAAATTCGAAGCTGAAATGGGTTTTCTCAAGTTCCCTGTAAACCGATGAATGAGACGAATTTTCTAGCAAAATCATGTTTGTCATTTTTGTCTGAAAACACCCAATTATTGTCAAAAAAGCAGAAAATCATCGGAAAATAATGCTTTTTGCATAAACTGTTATAAACTTTCGCTTATTCTGTTCGTTTCTTGATAGAAAATTGATTGATTTTTTTTTCGAAATTCGAAGCTGCAAAGGGATTTCAAATCTTTTTCCAAAGCGACGAAAGATTCGAAATTTATTTCATAATTTTTCGCGGAAAATACCTTAAGAATGTCAACATTTTTGGTTCTGGCATATTAATCTTGTATATTCCGGTACAAAAAAAAACGAAAAAACAAAAAAACTGTCCAAAATTGTTTACAATTTACTTCTTTTTCTTTCAGCTTTTTTTCCTCTGCTTTCCGAAAATATCTTTTTGGTTTGTATACCATTACAATATATCGGGTGTTAGTTAATATTTTATTTCTCATTTAATTAATGTGTGATATATCGAGCTAAGATTGTCTGTATCTGATCTGAAATTCATGACATTGTGATGTGTTTTAATTTGTATCATTTCATGGACTCTTAATTCAAACAAATTCTGTAACATTTGAGATGCATGTTGTGCTAATGCTATTCCATTTTCGTAAATTTTTCTTAAGCTAGATTTATGTTCGCATATTATTTTCTGTAAATATTGCCCTGTTTGACCTATGTATGCGTTATCACAGTTCAAACAGTCTATTTTGTATACTACATTAGGTGTGTCGAATTTATCAATATTTGGTTTAAATTTTGTGAAACATTTGCTAAGTTGTTTTTGGTTTTTTTTGTTATGTTGGTATTATATGGTTTGAGAATATTTTTTATTTTTATATTAATATCAGGAATATATGGAAATGATACATATTGATTTTACCATCTTTTCGTTTATTTATGTTGTTCCAATTGGTGTTATTACACTTTTTTATATTTCAGTGGTGCATACGAATGATAGTTCAAACATCTACCAGATCATACTTCCTTTGTGTTTCAATTTGTTTTTATTTTCCAATTGTTGTTATAAATAATTGTTAGGTCCAGAAAATTTGTGGATTTCTAACCAGTCAGTCTATTTAAATAATTTTTTGATAATTTTTAAATAATTTTGACATTTTTAAGAAAATTTTAACATGTCTTGATATGTATAATCTTGGTGTGTTTTAATATGTAATCTAATAGACTGTTTAACAACAAATAACGGTACCGTTAAAAATATTCAGTTATTTGACAAAATATTTTGACTATTTGTGATTTTAAGTGAACTGATGATGGCGGAAAGAAAAAAAAACCGAAACGTATTCTGAAGAATGAAATAAACTGTAATAGGGCAGGAAATAAATGACTGAAACTCAGGGAACCAATTTGTATCAAAATTGAAGCACAATCAGGAAAAGCAACACGATTATTCAAGTCGTCCAAGATCAGCCCAATTATTGCGCCACTGAATTTTCAAACGAAATCCGCGCAATAAAGGCAATAATTGAGCCAAACCAGCCCGATAACGGCGATTGCACCACTTGTACTCTACCATACTTTACAACTTCGTGCGGAATTCTGGTATAATGTGGTGAAGGGCGCAACACCATTCTGTAATGCGAAAGGGTAACCTTGCGATCTCGTTTTCTGCCATATTTCATCTATTTCTGCCGTCTATTTACATAAATCAGCTCGTGTTGTAACGAACAATCGCCGGCTGATGCACTTTTTCTTCGGCCATATTAGTTCATCAACGTTACCACTTCCATTGAGACTTGTTGCGAGGGCTTCAAGGAGGAGAACAACGTCTGCGTAAGCATCTGCGGAAACTGCCTGAACGGATTATGCTCCAATAGCAGTTGCATCTGTCGCAGTGGATGGGATGGACCAGAATGCGAAAATCGTAGGTGCTCATTTTTCTTGTCAAAGTAACTTGACCTAACCCTGATGGTTTTCAGCCATTCTTCCCACTGAACTTTCCACAGTTGGTCCTCCTAATGCCTCAACTGAATCAACCCCTAATATCCAAAAGGAGTTTAGTTCCCTGTTGCCGTTTGCAACACCTACAACTCCACTAGACGGTATTCAACAACTAATTCCAGAACCTCCTGAAGACATATTAGACACAGAACTTCCTTTCAACCCTGCTTCAACTTCAAGCATGGAATATTCCGATATTGAACTTGAAGGTTCTGGTTCAACGTCCAGATCCACGTTGGAGGCGGAGGTTGCAGTTAAAAAACTGGATGACATTGATGACAAGAAGGAAAATCCCAGTGCAGATGTCGACATTTTTCAAGAAGAAACTATTGTTCAAAGCACACCAACCCCCATTTCGGTGCTAATAAAGCCCCTTGCACAAGGGCATAAGGAGGAACAGCGCATTCCGAAGGAAGCCCTAATGGGTCAAAAATACGAAAAACGTGCGTCCATGGAAAACTTGACGCAAAACAGTCGGTTTAGTGTAACCGAGGCTTCACATCAGCACTTGATCTACAGCATATGCGCAGCCAGCTTGATCAGCTTTGTGGTATTGGTGACGGTCGTCACCTTGTACGCAATGAGAGCTTCCAGGAAGAAAATTGAAACCTCGACAAAAAGCGTCCACCAGGAGATGGCAACAGTGGCGGTTTACACCAGCAGTATTTTCCATTCTCCATTACCAGGTGAGTTTGACAGTTTCTAGGATCGATTTATACCCGCGAACCAAAGTTGTAGTTATGGCACAGCTTAAATATCATGATATACAAGGTTGCTCATTAGTGCGTCAAAGTGCGATATCTCAGTAAATATGAAGTTTACAAGAAAATTCGTCCAACGAAAGTTTTTCACGTTTAAAAGGTCCACATTCTAAAATTACTTTCCAATATACAGGGTGCATCATAAACGTGTGGTAGTTACCAACTCTGGTTTTTTAAATGAAACCCCCCCTTTTTTTTGTTATTTTCAGATTGGCCGTTCAATTTTAATTTATGTTTGTTTCAACCGTTTTACCTGAAAAATTTACGATTTCCGAGTTATTCGTAAAAATGTGAAAGTTTTGACAGCTACTGGGTTCCACAGAAATCGACGCTGTACACTACCCGCTGCGAATTTTGGAAAACAGTTTTCAGCGATTCTAACAGAACATCATGATCTACGCGTAGATATGTTTTAAATTATAAGG